TAGTTTTGATCTGCATTTCTCTAATGGCTAATGATTGTGAGCATTTCTTCATGTGTCTGTTAGCTGCCTGAATATCTTCTTTGGTGAAGTGCCTGTTCATATCCTTTGCCCATTTTTAAATTAGGTTGTCTTTTTGTTGTTGAGGTTTTGGAGTACCTTGTAGATTTTAGAGATTGGGCGCTGATCAGATCTGTCACAGTCAAAAATTTTTTCCCAGTCTGTAGTTTGTCTCTTGAATCTTTTGGTGAAGACTGTTGATGAGCGTTAAGTGTTTGATTTTTAGGAGCTCCCAGTTATCAAGTCTCTCTTCGGTGCTTGTGCATTGTTACTTATGGTTTGTATTGTGTTTATGCCAGGTATTAGGGCTACTAGTGTTGTCCCTATTTTTTCTTCCATGATCTTTTATAATTTTCAATTTTATATTTAAGTTTTTGATCCATTTTGAGTTAGTTTTTGTGCATGGTGTGAGGTATGGGTCTTGTTTTTCAGTTTTTTTGCAGATGGACATCCAGTTATGCCAGCACTGTTTGTTAAACAGACTGTCTTATTCCCAATTAACGGACTTTGGCCTTTGTCAAATATCAGCTGCTCACAGGTGGATGAATTTATGTCTGGATTCTCAATTCTGTTCCATTGGTCTGTGTATCTGTTGTTGTACCAGTACCAGGCTGTTCTGACTACCATGGCGGTATACTAGGTTCTAAAATCAGGTAGTGTGAGGCCTCCCACTTTGTTCTTCTTCTTGAGTAATGCTTTACTTATTTGGGGCCTCTTCATCTCATTAAAAAAATGCTGGTTGACGGAGGGCTGGGGGGACCATGGTCTCGGGGGAACATCTAGCTCAACTGGCATAACACAGTTTATAAAGACATTGTTCTACATTGTACCTTGGTGAGTAGCATCTGGGGTCTTAAAAGCCTGTGAGCAGCCATATAAGATACTCCACTGGTCTCACCCCTATGGGAGCAAGGGAAAATGAAGAGAACAGGAAACAAGGAAAAGATTAGTCCAAAGGACTAATGGACCACAGCTATCAAGGCCTCCACCAGACTGAGTCCAGTACAGCTAGATGGTGCCCAGCTACCACCACTGACTGCTCTGACCGGGATCACAACAGAGGGTTCTAGACAGAGCTAGAGGAAGATATAGGACAAAATTCTAACACAAAAGAAAAGACCAGATTTACGGGCATGACAGAGACTGGAGAAACCCCAAGAGTATGGCCCCCGGAACCCTTTTAGCTCAGTGGTGAAGTCACTCCCGAGGTTCACCGTTCAGCTGGGGATTGGACAGCCCCATAAAAAAAAAATGGGACTAATCAGGCACAGCAGTCCAGGAACAAGGACTAAAAGGCAGAAGGGGACGGGAAAGCTGGTGATATAGAACCCAAGGTTAAGTAAGGACAGTGTTGACGTGTAGTGGGGTTCTTAACATTGTCATAGCACAATATGTGTACTGTTTAATGAGAAACTATTTTCTTCTGTAAACCTTCATCTAAAGTGAGAATAGCAGCACAACTGGAAGAACGTAATCGACGT